GAGAGAGAAGAGGGAGGGAGGGAGGAGAAAGAGAATGAATGAAAGAAAGAAAGAGAAGAGACAGACAGCGCCAGACGTAGGGGGCGGGGAGAGCCTGTCCGCCCTACAAAATCAGGTGAGCGTATCTACAAACGGCATCGGTTCGTACCACAATTCTACGCTCACCATTAATATAAACTACAAAGAACTGTTCCATCAGAATCATCCTGCTCGGGACGTGTGGTGATTGATATATATATATATATATATATATATATATATATTATATATATATATATATATATATATATATATATATATATATATATATATAACAGGATGTAAAATAAGGCGGATGGGTAAGGACGGGGGAAGAGGGGAGAGGAGGAATCGCGAGGGATAGAAATCAAAAGGAAAAGAAGCTCAAAACGACGAGGGAAAGGGACAAAGAAAGAATAAGAACGATAGCCAAATAAATAAAGCCTTAGAAACAAGAGAAGGAACAACTTGTTGAGACGAGGACAAGGGCAAGGCGTCCAGAAAGGTAATCAATACCCTTGAGAGCGCCGACATCAACGACATGACAACATGTGCACTCCAGAAACCTCGGGGACACGCACATTCAGATGCAGAAATAATATCCATACATAAAAATCAATACACTTTTAAAGATTCGTACGTGTGCTCCTCAGTCCAAAACTACCTCGGACTTTTAGAACCCGAATGCAGGAGGAACTAAAATTTCTAATAACCATCACTACGATTTCAACGTAGCTTCTACACCACATCGGATAACACGAATCAGAATCCAGGCAGAAGTTACACAAGCGAACTGAACGAATCACACTTTCTTGAAACAGAACAATACTTTCCATATCATTTGGCCAAACAATACGCGCGGAGACGGTGTAACCTGCGATAAGAAACCTATTACGTAAAATTCACATGAAACAAAGCATATGCATACGAAATATTGTTTGATAAAAAAGCACCCATTTCCGAAGCCCTTGCCGCCCAACCGCCCGAGTAAACAAGCGCGACCGCCGAACAATCTCGGGAAATGCAATTGGCCGCAACTCAACGTGCTGTTTGCCTTGCTACGAAAGAAAAGTTAATACCTGTAGCCTTCCCAACAAAGGAATCGGGCTGGGTAGGGTTGGCAGTGGACTGGGGGGGGGGGGGGGAAGATGGGAGCAAGGATATCTATAGCGCCGTGGTCTCGCTACCGGGGTTCTCTCCCCTCCTAACCCCCGCGCCTGCTTCCTCCGTTCCTGAGGAATAAAGAACGGACGGCCCATCAATCTAAGGGAAAAGTGATGGTCCTTGGCCAGCCCAGCAGTGGCATCCCCGCATGTCGTATCTCGGTCTACGAAAGGAGCAATTTACTAATTCTTCGCAATATCTTGAGAAATAATAAATTCTTGTAACCTTTGCATCGAGGCTGAGTGTATAAAACTTGAAGCTAAATTACAAAATATGGATATTTAAATAAAAAAAAAATCAACCCTTTTAAATACATCAAATCTACAGCTTATGAAAATCCTTAATTTCCCAGCTATTACAAATTTCACTTTGAAAGGAAACCTCCTACTATTACAAAAGATGATTGTACCTTGGCTGATTACCTAGGATACCTTTAATAATCAATCTGACCGAAATATGTGTTTCCCACGTTTTTCGAGAGTTAAAGGACCCGACCCCCTTAATTTTCGTCTACCTCAGTGCATGTTGTCTAAAACACCACAGAAAGACCCGCTCTCCCCTCCCCTACCCGAGACACCCGGCACCCGAGCGGCTGTTCCGGGTCAGTTCCAGAAAGAAGCCGGGCGGACAGCTGAGAAGGGAGGCTGCTCGGCCGGACAAACAGGGGCGCGAGTGGTGCTCTCTCGACCGGCCACTGGACCGCTAAATAAGCATGAGATACGGACCGCCAACCTATTTCTGCTGACCCGTGGAATATGGGAGCTGACGCGGCCGTTACGCATGATGGCGCCAGTCAATAAATAAAGCGTGATGCCAATCGGGAAGAAGACAATAGCTAACATTGGCAGATGAACTGTTTACAAAAAACAACATCTTTCCTAGGATATCGACTGCCCGTGTGTGTGTGTGTGTGTGTGTGTGTGTGTGTGTGTGTGTGTGTGTGTGTGTGTGTGTGTGTGTGTGTGTGTGTGCGTGCGTGTGTGTGTGTGTGTGTGTGTGTGTGTGTGTGTGTGTGTGTGTGTGCGTGTGTGTGTGTGTGTGTGTGTGTGTGTGTGTGTGTGTGTGTGTGTGCGTGTGCGTGTGCTTGTGCGTGTGCGTGTGCTGGTGTGCGCGCGAGCATCTGACAACTGCTGTTTTTATTCCTCTGATCCAAGGGCGATTCACCTGGATTTCTCCCCCCAGAACACGATCCTTGGTCTTCCCCGTCGACCTAATTCTTATTCATAGCTTTTTTATTTACATTATTATCTTCTTTCTTTTTTTTGCCCGCTTTCCCATTCCGTTTTTTTTTCTAATTTATTTCTATGGGTTTCGTTCC